TCTGGTCACAGAGGTGGCAGCAGGTGCCAGATCAAGGGAGCTGCCTTTGAGCAGAGCATGGATGTTCGCCCCTTCTGTAACTTCCTTAGAGGTTGTCTTCAAAGCAGCAATCACACATATTTTCCAACACTGCCAGGAACATGTGAAAAGGGAGTACCCAGGTAAAAGTATTTTTATCCCCTTTCTGCAGTCTGGAGAACAGCTCTCAAGATATGATACTTTATTCCAGGGTTGTTTTGTTTCCTTGTCATCATTCCTCCTATGGGAAGTGGATCCCTGAACCCTTGGCTGCATTAGAGATTGATATAACCATCTACATAACACCACTGCAATTAACAGAGTGCACATTTATGCCATGAGTCCACATGTTCATGCCAAGGGTTGCATTTGCTATTTAATCCAGCAAAATTCATATGAGATTTTTTTTTTTTTCTCAGTGCTACACAAAGGTGCCTGACTAGCTTTCAATACCATGAAATGAAAAGTAGAGCAAGATATTTTGTTCTGTATTTGTGCAAATGGCTTAATCTCAGCAGGATATCTGTTCCACAAAAGCTTTGAAAGGCAAACAAATTATTTATATGCATCACAAAAACCATCACAACTTCCACATCTAATTAGCACAATGTGGTAACATTCACAGTGATATGCTGTTCACCATAATCTCCTCCCCAATGGTTTATTTTCTGCTTTCACGGTAATGTTAAGGAAGACAGCTCATCTCACATTCTACACATCAAGCCATAAACATTTATCAGGGTGTCAGCAGAGAGTAACGGTTACAGGTTGTCAATATCTAATCTGCAGTAAAATTAAATCATAGACCATTAGACCCAGTTCATCAAGGAAAGAGTTCAGGGCAGGTTCTGAACTGCAGGTCAGGAAGCGTCTAAACGAAGCATATGCAATCTTCTGCCCCTTTTGACCATGGAAACAGCACAGAGTATCTGCACATGCACGCTACATATGCACAGCATCACCCCACAGCACACCTTGTTTTTAAGAACAGGCTGCATCAGCACTACTGCTCCTGAGGAATCACCACATTGCTCTTGTGGACAGGCAGCCTCGACCCCATTGCTTACGTGACAGAGACCAGCACAGGACCAAAGGGCTGTCGTCAGCTTTCAGTGATGGGATAATTTCCAAGAGTTTCTTGTCTGTGGGAACTTTGTGTAACCCGCTAGTAAAAACCACACCTGATATCCGAGGAGGTGTGCCCCTTGTTTTCCTTTTGTAGAATCATAGAATGGTTTGGGTTGGAAGGGACCTTAAAGATCACCTAGTCCCACACCCCTGCCCCAGGCAGGGCCCCCTTCCCCCAGCCCAGGGGGCTCCCAGCCCCGTCCAACCTGGCCTTGAACCCTTCCAGGGAGGGGGCAGCCACAGCTGCTCTGGGCACCCTGGGCCAGCGCCTCACCCCCCCCACAGGGAACAATTTCTGCCTTACATCTCACCTAAATCTGCCCTCTTTCAGTTTAAAACTGTTAGCCCTTATCCTATTCCCACACCCCCTGATCCAGAGTCCCTCCCCCTCTTCCCTGTCCCCCCTTTAAGCCCTGGGAGGCCACTCTCAGGGTCCCCCCGGAGCCTTCTCTTCTCCAGGCTGACCCCCCCCAACTCTCTCAGCCCGGCCCCCCAGGGGAGCTGCTCCAGCTCCCCCAGCATCTCCGTGGCCTCCTCTGGCCCCGCTCGAGCAGCTCCGGGTCCTTCTGCTGTTGGGGGCCCCCGAGCTGGCCCCAGCACTGCAGGGGGGTCTCCCCAGAGCGGAGCAGAGGGGGAGAATCCCCTCCCTGGCCCTGCTGCCCCCCCTGCTCTGGCTGCAGCCCAGGGCACGGGTGGCTTTCTCATTTGTAGAGACATGCCCAAGCCACCAAAACATGAAAATGAAAGGAGTTATGATCCTCTGTTAGCAACCCAACGTGGTAACCATGCTCTTCATTAAATGACTGTGAAAATGGCATGCCGCTGTGCAATGCTGTTCTTCCTGCATCCTCTTCCCTTCCAAAGCAGGACCACACCTATCTGATTTTTTATAAACTCCCAGTGATCAGAAGTGTGGAAATAATAACACTCATTTACCAGATTAGTAGAACTTCTTCCGTTTCAAAGACTTCTCCGTGCTTTCTAAAGTTTAATAAACTTGGCTTGATGGAAGCTCCTTCCTCCAAAGTATCCGAGAGGAGCATTTAAAAAGAAAACCTGCCCTTGGGCTGACTGTCAGCATCCATGCCTTCACCCGCTTTGTGCAGCTCAAAGGTGAGACAAACCTCAGGCCTGAAGCCAGCTGCCTGTGCCAGACTAGTGCTAAAGCAAAGTGTAAGGAGTGGGGTTGAGCTGAGACCCCGAGTCAAACCTTCAGCTAATGTGGTAATACAGCCCCAGCCCGAAATGCTGTTGTTTCCTACAGCACAGGCTGAGAGCAGTACAATAATGCTTTGTAAATCTCACCTGCTCTGAGCTGATAATATTGTTCTCCTTTAAGAGACTGAGTCACTGGGAGATGTAAGGTAGTGGTGACGACTGAAGCGACTTGTTTGGCTGGCTCTCAGGAGAGGACAAAGATGCCTTTGCCTACTGCTGTAGCCTTGCCACAGGACTTCCTTTTACCCACTTGGCCAGTAACGGCTAAAATACTAAGAATTACCTTCACAGGCATTTCAGTTTTTATAAAAACACGGGCCGGAGGGTAGAGAGTACCAGCCCCGCAGGGTTCCCACTGTTTCCTGTTTGTTCTAGATCTCTTTCATGGGCAATTTTCTTCCAAAGCTTTCTCCTTCGAAGCACGTTACTATTCTGCTTAATCCTCATTCAAACTTCAGTTTGCCACAGGTAACTCAGTCAGGCAGCATCCACCACTGCTGTCATCAGAAAGATGCTGAGGGCTTTGGAAACCCCTCATCAGAACATCAGAAGCAACTTTTCCATTCAACTCTGCTCCAATTTCTTTTGCTTGTTTTGACCCATGCCAGGTCAAAATACTGCAAGGTAGTGTCATCTAAAAATTAAAAAAAAAAAAAAAAAAAAAAAAAAGGATAATTAAATGACTTAATTATTTGTGGCTAGATTTCTCTTTTGCAGCGTGTGTCTGCTTGTATTATGATATCAGTTTCACCTGCTAGCATATGCAATATGAGCCTCCCTGCGAGAAAGGAAAACGAGAGCTGCTTTCTCTGCCTGTTCTGCTAATCTGCCCCTGCCCTACTTATTGCTCATACATCTAATTTGGCATAAGGTGACACACATCCCTGGCACAGGCATTCACATTTTTACAGTACTGTGGCTTGGCAGTTTATTTCTTACTTAGGTGTGTCCTTCCTAAATAGGCAAGCTAATGGAGAAAATTTACTCATTTCATCACTCATTTAATCTCATGCGTTTCAATTTGTCATACTTTGCCGTGTCTATTTCTGACATCTCACTTCTTGTATCAAGGAGATATATATTCTCCTTGGAAGTATTCTGCCACTGACACTTCTTTATTCCGAGTAATCTCTTTGAAACAGCCTCACATTTGTTATCAAGACCTCCACACGCCTCCCAGCACTCAGAAGAGAAAGCACAAATGTAACTGATTGTGAATTCTGTAACTTGGCTAATGTTCCAGTAATTTGCTAATAGCTTTTACTTTCTCCAGAAGTATTCGTTTCTGTCTACAGGCTGCTAGATGCTGGAGGACAGAGTCTGCAAGGAACTCAGGGAAGCTGGCAAAGGAAAACTTCCACAACAGCTCCCCAGTTAAAAATCATCTTATCCTGGGATCGGTGCAGACCTCTTGATACCATTTTCTCTAATTAAATCTCTGAGAGAAAGTTATGAAGTGAATTTCAAAATAAACATTTTTACTTGGTGGAGTTGGCAGCATAAGGAAACTGTTTTGCAAAGAAGTGTGCAAATGCAGTTTTACAGAAAGTGTCAAATAAATGTTTGCTTTTGCTCTTAGAAACCTTTGCTCAGTGATACTTGCAGGAAGGATTCCCCTGTGCCAGTGTCTGCCTGGGGGATGGGAACTGTGTGAAAAATAACAGTGTGTTAGAATGCAAAACAAGCAGCTGAGAGAACAAATACAGAATACTTAATGATAATGTCCAGGCAGCCGTCCACTGTGCCCTGTCCAGACACTTAGATCAAAGTCTTATGCAAATGCTCAAAGGCATGATGCCAGGTAAAAGCAAACTCTTAAACAGCTCTGGATGTAAAAGCAGCTCCATTCCCACACTTTGATAATCCAAAAGACGTTATTTTTTTAATCTTTTCTAAGTTCTTGAACAAAAGTATTCAACAAAAGCCTTGGTAAAACAAAACAAAACAAACCAAAACAAAACAAAACAAACACACACAACAAAACAGTTCCTCCCCCCCAGCCTTTTCTCCCTTATTCGTTTCTGGTATATTTGTATTAATCCCATTCATATATGCTGCAACACTGATACAAGTTCCAAGGTAACTTTGAGGGGAATGAAAACAGTTCATTTCTCACAATTTCTTTGTCTCTATAAAAGCTGGGTTCTGCCTCCACTGAAAATGCAAAGGTTAATTTTCTAGTTGAAGTTTTGGACTGAGACTCAGAAGACACAGTGCTTGCTACATATTTGGGCTACTCTGGATGCATTACCTTAGTTCTGTACACCATGATCCGTCTCAGCTTCAGCTTCCTTTGACGTCCCTTCCTCCTTCTACCCCTTATCAAACCCTGTCAGTTTGAGCCCAGCAGAGCGTAAGAAACTATTTCCACAGTCTTTGCTCCTCAGCACCATTTGGGTAAGCAGAATGATGGAAAATATCACTGAATCAATATTCGGGAAGAGTAAAGACTATGAAAAATTAGTTCTTACAGGTATTTCTACGAGCCCTGTTGGCATACTGTTAGTTTATTCCAAAAGTAATTCCTGGGAAGTGAATACTATTCCATGTGAATAATGTAGTGAGACAGCAGAAAGAACAAGGTATGGGGAGTTGAGGTCCGATAATTTTAAACATGAGCCTGTACTGCTTTGGAATTTCTGTGAGACCATTTATATAATAAAGTTACAATTTAAAAAGCCTTACAAATACTGGGAACATTAATAGTGCAAAGTGAACTTCACCTAAGTAGAGTCGGTTCACACAGGTCACTCTTTAAGGCAAGTCATCAATACCTTGTTTTTAAACAAAGGGAGATAACGCCTGTGTTACACCTACTTATGGCCTACACACGGGTTTTCTGTGCTTGCAAGGAGTTCATGTGGTTTTAAGCAGAGCTTGCGGAGACTGACACAAGCATCAAACCAGCATCATTCAGCTCGTCCCATGGCTGCTCTGCTGAGACAATATGAAAAGCTAGAGGATGTGTCCAAGCCAAAAGTGGCATCTGCATTAAGTACCTGGAGAGGAAGGAAGCTCTCTGGAAATATAACAGAATCCCTCTAAAACAACAAGAGACAGAACACTATGAGAATAATAGAAGAAAACAGTACCATTTAAGAAAGCAGGAAAGAAAGATGGTGGGATAACTGTAGACGGGAGAGGGACACAAGCAATGGAAACACGAGGGGAAAGGTGAGTAGAGCACCAGGAGAAGGAGGAGAAACCGTGACGGGTGGCAGCAATAGCGACGCCAGCTGCACTGCTTGCAGTCATGAGAGACTAAGACTTTTCCTGCAGTTGTCAGAGGTTTCTTTATTCTTTTACTCTCAGGTTACTAACAAGGGCCTCCAAGTGCCCTTGGAGCCTGCACTTGCCCCAGCTGCTGGCCCGGCCCTGGTTTTGCTGATTTCTGGCGACATCCCTGTCTGCCAGTGGAAGTTGAGGAGAAGCAGCTTCAACAGTTCTCCCTTGCCCATGCAGCGGCTCCTTGCTGCAGAGAACACCACAGCCTGCTCTGTGTCACGGCTGAGATGAACTGTCACTCCCATTTTAAAGCAGTTCAATTATCAGTTGTCACAAACGGTACCAAAGAGTTGTTAGTGATACTGTGGTATCTCCAGCGAGTAAATCAGGAGTATAAACAATTTTTAACTGAAATGAGAGATTGTTCATAGCTCCTCTCTCACCATCAAAGCATCAAATGCTCCTTTTTTTCTTCTCCCAGGGAGTTGATACTCCATTTTTTCTCCAAGCTGTACAAAAGTTGGTGTTCTATACAGCAGCTGGCAAAGGTTACTCCATTGTCTTTTCTCATGCTTAGTGTGACTTTTTGGCCGTGTTTTAGCTAACAGAATTTGGCAGACTGTAGAAAAAAAAAATGCACCTAAAGATTAACACTTCGAATATTTTACCATTAGTTTCACAAGACCGGAAGCAACAGACAAAACTATCAGAAAATTGTTATTTTCCCCCCTTTAGAAATGAGCAAAGACACAAAACCGAAGCAAGTGAAGCAAAGGTATTCCAGTTCACATGGGGCCCCACATCGTGTTAATAAATTCTATTGCTATTCTGGAGATAAGGTCAGAGGCGCGTCTATGCTCGAAAAGGCAAGAAGTTTATCTTCACAAAACCAAGAGTCACCACCTTCGACAAAATCTGCACGCATGAAAGAAAAAAGTTTCTCCTTTGCATCAAATTACCCATAAAAAGCCCAACATCATAACTTGGTGTAGGCCTGCTGAATTTTCGGTGTATCAATGAATGCTTCAGAGCAATTTTGCATGAGCCAGTGTTTCTTCTCCTTCACAAGTATAGTGAAACATGCAGATGCACTGGAGAATTACATTATTAAACGTGCTGCAGAGTATATTAAAAATGGGTTCCTGCTGAAAGTTTGTTTGTTTTGCACTGCAGTTCTCTTTCTGAGTCTTGCTGATGATCGTTGCTATTACTTAAGTCTCCATCACTTAATCATCCGATTCCCCTGGGAAGCAGGGAAAGGGAAGAGGAAGGGGGAAGAAGAAATCTCACCAGCCGGTGCAATGCCTTTGGTCAACAGAGAACAGGGACTTTGACAGAAGTCAGCTGCCTCCTTGGGTCGTTGCTCTGAGATGGTACCACGACCCTCAAGAGGCTGCAAAAGAAACCCAGCCATCACGTTACCACTGAGAGAAGGTCAGAGCACGCACAAAGCACTGCTGTTGAAAAGGTTCCCCCATCCAACAGCAGCAGCTTTTCCCTGCCCTCACCTCCCCATCAGTGGCAGCAGCAGCAAACTGACCGTCTCACAGACTTCCCTCCCCAAGTGTCATCTCTTTCAGTCCCATGCTTGCAGACATTTTCCACATTTGCTTTGCAAGTTAGGTCCATATCTAAGGGAGAGAAACAGACATTAAATTACTTGTTAAAAAAACCAAAAAAACACCACCAAAAACTAAAAACTAAAAAAACAACGAAAACACATGAAATTCACCTCAGCGCAGATGTAGAGGACTTCAAACGCATCGCTGCGTCCCTACTGAATTGCGGAAAACAGACTCCACAATCTGATAGATTGTAAAGTAGGTAAGTTTATTCAGCACTGGGCACACAGGGGATCGCTCCTCCTAATGTGTGTGCTGCCATGTGGCACCGTTGCCTTAGATTTATAGAGCAAATGATTACATATTCATAATATTTCGCAATACGCCTATACATATGCATCACCTATCCCCTCTTCGTATTAAAATTAGCATTTCCATGATCTCCTCCCAGTTGAGTCTGCGCAGTGAGTTCCTTTGATCCTGGGCAGGGGTCGTGAAGGACTGGGCGGTGGTCGTGGGAGGAAGTATCTCCTCTTCCTTAGTGCTGAACTTTTCACCCCGAATTCCTGCGCAGTCTCTGTCATCCCCTGGACCCGCAGAGCAGGTTTGTGCCGGTTGTGGGGTAATCTTCACTTACTCAGGGGTGGAGGAGGCTTTTTACTTAAACAGGAGATAGTGGTCGAGCAACACAAACACAGCACTATCTATCTTGTACGATCTAAAAACTCTTATCTCGACTATTTCCCTTGTCATCCCCTTCTTGCTATTCCCATATTAACCCTTACATCCCCTGTTCCTATCTAGGCCCTGTATCACTACCACAGCTTCACTGATGCATTTCTTCCTGTGGTGACATACGATTACGTCCTTACGTTTGAGCTCGTCCGTTAACCGGCGTTTGCCTTCGTCCCGGCCTCCCACCGAAGCACGCTCTGCGATGAGGAACAGGCTGCCTGACAGCTGCCGACGGCCAGCCGGGGCAACGCCTGCAGCAAGCAGTAGGTAGGCGCTGCAATGCGCATCTTCCCAAGAACACCACACCATGCTGTCCCTGGACGTGCGGCAGCCTCACAGCCGCTGTGTCCCACCAGACCCTGGGACGCGGCGGGTCCTGGCTGGGGATTTGTGGCCCCTCGAGGCCGTGCACCCCTGGAGAGCAGGCGGAACCACCGCCACCCAGCGCCGCGGGGACAGGCGGGATCCTCGGGCACCCTCAGCGCAGCGCTGACACAACGAACCTGCTGCTACCAACACAGGCACCGTCTGCAGAGCGGGGCTGGGAGCTCACCAGCCGCGCCCCACGCTCCCGCAGGCCTCAGCCGCCCGGGACCCCCCTCAGGAGAAGGGGGACGTGACCAGCTCGCCCGCAGCTAATGGCCGCCTGCCCAGAAAATGGCGCCTGCAGGCTGGGGCGCAGCGGCCACGGTCGCACAAAGGCAGGCTTTGTCCCACTTCCATCAGGGTCTCGTTCTTGTTCTCTCGACTGGTCTTCCCAGTTTCAACCCTGCGGTCTGAAATGACGGTTACCTCTTGGCACGTGCCTCAACTGATGCCATGGCTGAGAGATCACATTAAAAAGATTTTGCCCTTTGACAACATTGCTAGCATAAACTTTTCTTCCGGGATGAGGAACGGAAAAAAGCCCAAGGATGAGCCTTCCTGCATCACGTTGGCGATCCCTGCCGATAGCAGAGTTTATCTGCTAGGTTCCTGCGTCAGATCAGTCATGCAACATGCCATTAAACTATGGCCTAAGACACAGCACTGAAAGGACAACAAGCAAAATATCACCTCCCAACCGGCACAAACCCGCTCTGCGGTTTAGCCCGGGTCCAGGAGGCGACAGAGACTGCGCAGGAATTCAGGATGAAAAGTCCAGCAGTGAGGTAGAGGAGATACTTCCTGCCCCGACCACTGCCCAGCTCTTCACGACCCCTGCCCCGGACCAAAGGAGCTCACTGCGCAGCCGCAAGGAGGAGGAGACCTAATTATAATAAGAAGCGAGGGTAGGCGGGAATAGGTTATGAATATGTATACGCGTCTCATGAATACGCAACACACTGTAACATATAAGCAAGACTAGAACGGCAGGGGGGCGCGCACGCTTGTTGCGGGGGAGCGTTCCGCCGTGCGCCCGGCGCCGAATAAGCATACCTGCTTTACAACCCTGAGTTGCGAAGTCTTTCATCCGTAAATCAAGTGCTCGGAGAGAAAGGGGAAACAAGGGAATTCTGAAAGCCTCGGAGCCGTCACGCCCCCACAACTCGTGCACTCAGGTCACTGTTGGGCGCTGTGCTGGAAACAGCCGCCAGCGCCCCCGACATGAGCCCCCTCAGGGCACCCTGGGGCCGGCAGCCGCCGCCGCTCCGACCGGCGGGGCCCGCGCGCTCCGCAGCGCCGGCCGTACCGATCGGCCCGGCCGCCCGGGAGCCCCCTCAGGAGAAGGGGGACGTGACCGGCGCGCCCGCGGCTAATGGCCGCCTGCCCACAAGATGGCGCCCGCGGGCCGCGTCGCGACGGTAACGGTCGCCCGAAGGCGGGTTTTGTCCCGCTTCCATCAGGGTCTAGTTCTCGTTCTCTCGACTGGTCTTCCCGGTTTCAACCCTGCGGTCTGAAATGAGGGTTACCTCTCGGTACCTGCCTCAACTGATGCCATGGCTGAGAGATCGCACTAAGAAGATGCAGCTTCCATTTGGGTACAAAAAATTCTGTTCCTGAACTTCTGTATTGGTTTTGTCCTTGGACAACACTGCAAGCATAAACTTTTCTTCCAGGACGAGGAGCGGAAAGCTGTTCGAGGATGAGTCTTCCTGCATCACATTAGCGATCCCTGCCAATAGCGGACTGTATCTGCTAGGTTCCTGCATGAGAAAGGAGGTGTTCTGTGGCTTTGTACAGATGAACTCGCATGAACCTGTAATTCCTGGTTGCCTCAGCAGGGAGACGCGAAGAAATCCGAACAGCGTCGGAGTAAAGGAAGAGGGTATTGCAGGCTGGAATGCCTTTACCGGGACTCAGTGTCAGATCAGTCACGCGACATGAACTACCCTATGGCCTAAGCCACAGCACTGCAGGGACAACCGGTCCCCGCAAACCAGAAGCCAACAACCTGACTAACTGCCAGTGGTTCAAATTTGCCGTACATTTATGACATAAATTGTGCCTCACGTGTTTGATTTTGCCACCTATTTTTCATGGCCTGTGTGAGTGGAAGAACGCTGTGTCCTTCACAAACTGATGTCACCTCTGTTTTCACAGTGGTTTCTCAAGGATGAGGGGGGGTCATGTCCGTCAAACCGTGGGCCTCGTGCTTGCCTCTGCTCTGCAACCAAGACAAAGGCACGGGGGGCGTGCAGAAGCCGTTTCCTGAGATCCTGACACTCTGTTACTGTGGGCCAATCTGGAGTGTACCGCCTCAGCATCCACACAGTTTATAAGACTAATCTTATCAAGAGCTTTATTTTAGGTGGATGAGACATTTTATACTGAAAAAGACCCCAGCGTGATGGTGACTGAGGCTGAGATGACTTGGCAAAGGTACCCGCCGTGAGCTGGAGGTGTCTTGGGAAGGAATTAAGAGTATGGAAACAGTGACGCCCTGCAGCCCGTCTTCGCTGTTCAGGTGCACGTGGGCAGTTAGGGGAGGTCGGTGCCTGCGCACAGAAGACACGGAGGCAAAGGGCAGGGTCGGGAGGTGGTCCTGTCCCACTGTGATGGGAGGGAGGTGGTGCAAGTGACAGCCCTGTGTGTGGCAAGCAGTGGGGAAAGGGCCGGCGTTCGTTGTGAAAATGTATCCCTAAGTCGTGTTTTGGGGAGCCAGGCAGTAATCTAGCCATCGCCTCTTTCCTCCCTGCCGCGGACACAGGTTCTGCTTATGCAGCTTAAGCCACAGCCGGTCCCGCGGACAGGGGAGGGCACCGGGGGCACTTTGCACCGGGAGCCTTCCCAAGACCCCGATGATGTGCATTTGTAACGGCACCTGGAGGCATTGCCAAAGCGACGGAGTTGGGCTTAAGGGCACACACACGGCTCCTTGTCCAACCTTGCTTGCTGGCACAGCCAGCACCCCCAGCGTGATAACTCTGACGAGACCCGTGTGCGTTCGTGTCCACTGCTGAGCTGCTCCGTGGCACAGAGACGCTGCAGCCGGGGCAGCCATCAGTTCCTCGGCTGGCAATGCGGAAGTGGGAGAGCTGTGGAAGAAGCTCTCACCCTCAGGTCTGGCCTCTGCTGAAACCAGTCCTCCTGCATTCCCCAAAACACAGCAAGAAGTTGTTTCTCACGCAGTTCAGGGCACTGAGGGAGGGTTGAGGCTGGGTTCAACGTTAAGAAAGTCCATCCCTGTCAGAACCAATGACCGTCCTCTGGATTCCAGGTCACCCCTCTCCTAAAGCAAAGCCTCCGGGAGAGACCCGGGCAGAAAGCTGACGAGGCACTTCCCAGGGCATAAGCACCAGTTCGCCTCGGGCACTGCTTCTCTGCGCCCTGCAGGGATGAGATCTGTCAAGAGGCACCATTCCGCATCTGTGTCTGTTCTCACGCCTCCCGTGACAGCAGCTGGGCTCCTCTGGATGCCAGGGCACAGCCAAGGGAGGCAGGAGCCTGTTGTTATAAAGCAGAGTTCCGAGGGCTCTTTTCTGGGGGAGAAGCAATGGGGCATCTACAAAGGAGCCCGCTGCCGTGATTCCTACTGCCACGCGACACGGCAGCTGCTGAAGCCAGCAGCAGAAAGATCAGGTCTCTGCACCCTCTTGTGAACGTTCTCCACAATTACAGCGGCGCAAATCCACGGGCCGTCTGCGGCAGGGAGAGCGGCTGTGACACTCGCTCCTCCAGCACACCAGCAGGCCAGATGCCGGCGCTGAAGCGCTGGTGCTGTCAGCAGCTGTTGAACACAAGCCACGCGAGAAACAGCGGAACTCGGGGGATTATCCAGCCCCTTCGCTGGCGGGTCACTCCTTTCCACACCGGGCTGCCTCACCGACTCCAAAGACGCCTGAACCTGAGCTCTGCACGCACAGACCCGAAGCCCAAACCCCGGCGCAGGCGCAGACACCTCCAGCAGCACAGACATCAGCCCACCTGGAGAGCTTCCTGCTTCGTCACCCGCTGTGGGGTGCAGAGGCACGTGCTGGAGGGGGCAGGGTTGCAGCTCATCGCGACCGGTTCCACTGACCGCCAGCAGAGTCCGGGGGTGATGCCCAGTTGGGTCCCCGTCGGCCCTGCGGCCAAGCCACCTTCCCCCCTGCCCGCTCTGCCCTGGGCCTCCGCTGCGCTGCGGGCGGGCGGCTGCAGCAGGGTTCCCAGCGGGAGGAGGCGCCGCCGACACGGCCCTGGGGCTGCGGGGGCCCACGGCCGTGCCCCCCAGCAGGCGGGCGCCACTGTCGTGGTTTAGACCTGATTGACAGCCAACCACAATGCAGCACCTCTCTCTCCCTTCCCCTCCGGCAATGAGAAGGGACAGAGAGCCAGGCTTGGGGTTCAAGATAGGACTGGGATGGGGGAAAATCCCCCTTTTATGATCATGAGCAAAAGGCAGACTCGTTAGGGGAAGAAAAAAAAGAACATACATTTATTACAGACACTAACAACACATAACAGAGTAGGACAGTGAGAAGCATTGCCACATCTTGAGAACACCTTCCCCCCACCCCTCCCTTCTTCCCGGGCTCAGCTCTGCTCCCGATATCTCTACCTCCTCCCCCAGTGGCGCAGGGGCAGGGAATGGGGGGTGCAGTCAGTGCTGCCACTTCCTTCATCTTCGGTGAGGGGAGTGTCCAAAACTTGTTACCCCCTGCTCCATCGTGGTCCCCCTCTCACAGGAGACAGTCCTCCACAAACTTTCTCTGACTTGAATTCCTCCTATGGGCCGCAGCGTTCCCCACACTGCTCCGTCATGGGTCACTAACTTCCTCCGACTGGATTCTCTCCCACGGCTGCAGCCCTTCCCGAGCTGCTCCGGCGTGGGACTCCCCCGCATGCTGCAATCCTCCCAGCACTGAATTACAGCAGCGGGGCTACCTTTTTCCATGAGACCCCGGCCTTCTTCGGGCACAGAACCTTGATCAGCCAAGCAGGAACAACAGGCTGTAAATCAATGTCTGCTCCACCGTAGATCTTCATGGGTGGCGGGGGGGGGGGGCCGCCCTGCCGTCTCACCACAGGATACAGGGGGGTCTCTGCTCCGGCACTCCTCCCCCCTCCTTTCTTCCTCCGTTCCTCCACTGACCTTGGTGTTCATGCAGCTGCAGCAACTCCTCCTCACAAGTCCGACTGCCCGTCACCACGTCCCTTCTTAAATACGTTGTCGCAGAGGCGCAGCCGATTGGCTCAATTTCCCAAACAGAAGTGGAGCTGACGTGGAGCTGGGGGAGCTTCGAGAAGCTTCTCACAGGGGGCCGCCCCGATAGCCCCCTCCCCTGCCACCAAAAAACTCCACCACTCACTCAACCCAGGACAGCCACCTTCGGTGGGGCGCGGGGGGCAGGAAGAAGCACTCAGAGACGGGGTCAGGGAAAAAGGAGTTTATTTCCCCTTCCTGGGAAAGGGGACACGCGGCAGCCCTGCTCTCAGCGCCGGCGGGGCGGCCTCTTGCCGGGCTGGGGACCGTCCCGGGGGCCGGGGGCCCTCCTCTTCGGGGGGCGCCGGGGCCCCCCAGGCGAGCGGTCCCTGCCCCGGCCGGGAGCGGAGGGGCTGCGGCTGCAGCCCCGGGCAGAGGGACCTGCCGCCGCCGCCTCCCCCGGCTTCTGCCGGGGCGGGCGCGGCCGGGGGGCGGCCGGGAGCCCCGCGGAGGGCGGCCCCCGACGTGCCGCCTTCCTCCTCCCCGGCGGAGCCTGCAGGGCTGCTGGAGGCGGCCGGGCCGGGGCCGGGGCCGGGGCCGGGGCCGGGGCCGGGGCCGGGGGTGACCCCCGGGAGGCGCTGGGGCTGGGAGTTCCCGCCCTGGAACTGGTGCAGATGCAAGTGTTGGAGCTGGAGCTGCTGGAGCTGCTGGAGCTGGTGCAGCTGCAAGTGGTGGAGCTGCAGCTGGAGCTGGCCGCAGGGCTGTCTTCCCCCTGCCCCGCAGCCTCGGAGCGCAGCAGCCTCTCAGCCTCCTCGCTGCACTGGCCCACAATGATATCGATGATGCCATCGACCAGCGGTGCTGTATGTTCCGCAAGGACAGGCTGCAACAGCTGGACCATGACCACACGATCTGGACCATAGAGGCACAGGGCGTGCAGGATGCGGCTCTCCACCCTGTGTGCCAGCCGCCACCGGGACCCATATATTGCCTGCAGCTCCCGGCGCAGCCAGGGCAGCACGGGGTCCAGGAGATGATGCTCTTCTCTTTGGAAGAGTTCTGCCCAGACCTGGGGCAGGAGGCCACCCACAGCTTCTGTCCCTGCAGACCCCTGCTCAGCTGGAGATGTCACGGCACGATGGGGGCTGTTTTCGGCCAGGGGGCTGTTTTCTGGCAGATGGCTGGGAGCTGTTGCTAGGAGGTGTGTGCCGACACACTGTAGATAGTCATTTCCTGCCCCCACAGAAAACCAGATAATATCTAATGGTCCTCTGCAGAGTGGACACACTGGTTTCACGTCTGCCCACCGCAGGATGCAGCCCAGGCAGAACTGGTGGTCACAGGGGCTGACATAAACCGCATCTCTGTGAGCGCCGCGGCAGATGGGGCAGCACCACTCTGTCTCCGTGGCCATGTTTGCTTCGTGCGGCGGGCTGGGGAGAGCCAAGGACGGGGAGCTGCTCCCCTCCACTGGCGTCACACGCTGCAAAAGGGAGAGAGGCCGCGGTCACTCGCTGTGCCGGGGAGGGGAAGGGAGGCAGGAGCGGCCAGGCCCCTCGCGAAGGACGCCCTCCCGGCTCCCCGAGCCCCACGGCCGCCCCACGGCCGCCCCGTGGGGACGCTTCCCCCCACAGCTCACCTCCGCTGCCGCAAGCGCGCCCGGCGGTGCCCGGCTGCCTGAACCAGGCAGGGCCGGGGAAACGCAGGGGATGGCTCCGGGACGGGCACCGAGAGCTGCCGACGGCAGCCCCCAAAGCGCCGCCCAGCACCAGGAGCAGCCTCGCTCGACCCTCCAGACCTCGCAGGCACGCTCGGCAGGAGTCCAGGCACGAGCCAGGCTGGGCCAGCGGCTGCCGGCGCCCGAATATAAGCAGCGAGGGACGCGAGGTCACAGTCCACTGCCAGGTGATGTCACCTTCCATCGCGCGGTGACGTCACAGCGGGCTGCCTGCTCCCATGGTGCCTGCTCGGGTAGCGCTGTGGCTGGCATTGGCACTTGTGCCGATGAAAAATTTAATCATTCCCATATTCCTTGAACTTAGAAACGAGCCAGTCTCCTTCCGCTTGAACTTTTTTGACTGCAAGCACAAGTCGTCTAGACATGCCATAGCTGAAGCACGACGGAGGAGAAGAAGACGTCAGTAATCATGACAGCCTGAGAAGCCCTGTTAGGGAGCTCTACAGCAAAGGCGGAGTTTGCACAGAAAATGCCCTGGGTATGGCAGAAGCACAAACCTCACTTTCAGAGATTTGCAGAGAGTTGCTCGCTACAGGAAACTGATGTCCAAATAGGTTTTCTTTTTCTTTTCCTACTCATCCTATATAGCTTAAGTTCAATTTCAATGGCAGTACAATGTCAAATTCTGTTTGCCTGGGATTCCTTACTTTGGTAAGCTGAGAGACACATTGGAAGTAAGACTTGAGATGGCAATATCTCAAATAGGATCATCTCCTGAAGAACCTGTGAGAAATACACTCTCTCGATGAAACGGGGCTTCAGGGCAAGCTACAATGGACAATGTGGAAGCAATGCGGTAGCTGAGATTTATTTCCTTGCAACCTCCTAGCCCAAGGAAAATGATCATCTCTAGACCATGCAATCCAATTTAAAAATACCGTCTTGTTTTTTGAGACTAGGCATGAGGAATTACTTCCATGTTTCTTAGAAGTATTCTGGAAGTAAGTGGAAAAACACTGGTTTTAAGGGCTTCATAGAAAGAGATCTTTAGCAGTTCAGAAGCTTCCCTTTGCAAAATGTATGTACCAAATGATCTCATTTTCTTCATCACTGGAGCAGCATTCCCACCTAAGCTCCTACTTCTTCCTATCACTTCGCCCATTTTGAGCTCCTTAAGAGTATTCGTTGATTTACGGGACATGACCAGAGAGCACTAAAAAAACCCAACATCCTAGGTCCTAGGTTGCAGTTGAAAGTTTCCATCAACACATTATTTCTAATCTGGAGCCTTCCTGAACAACCCAAGAGTAACAGCAAAATGAAGCTTGTGCTAGACTCATGCAAATCTCATTGTCTTTTCATCAGAGTTAAGTTTCTTTCCACATTTTCCAGCTTTTGTCTTTCTTTGCCTCTACCATCCATAGCGATCTGAAAACCACTGACGACCCTTTTAAGTCAGGAGCCAGTTCACTAACCCCCGTTACAGAGTTCCTTTTTCTTTTTTTTTAGTTGTATTAACTCAAGAATATGCTCAGTAGTTTATTACTTCTAACCCTGCATTCTAGTGAAAGTTAAGATTCCAAGCTGATGCCATTATTGAAAATAATCATATTGTACTTCCTTGTTTAATGGTACCGAAATCCTGCTCCAAGATGAACATGGTATATATTTGGCTACTGAAAGGTCATGTTTTTGTGTACAGTTGTGTGCGTATATTAAGTGTGGTTTGTTTTGTCTTGTTTTTTTTTTTTTTTTTTTTCCCCCGGTTACCCTAAAAAAAGGGAATTGTGCTACCCTTGAGTTAGGTATATCAAGAGCAGAAGGAATTTTCTGCCTAAAAGATACTACAGTGAAAAAAAAAAACCAACATAGGGGCAATTAAAAAAATAAATTAAAAATCTATATTAAAAAATAAAGACTAGTTTTTGTTTTAAAAACTTAAGAGGGTTTTGGTTTTGTTTTACTTTGGTTTGGGGTGTGTTGCTTTTTTCACTTTTCAAAACTATAATTCACATGATTGAATTCTCTCCTTGATTTCAGTTAAACCCTTGAAAGTGCTGAGCTGTTACGTGGTTGTTTTGGTTAAAATTGCTACCTTACACTTCCAACAGTCACTGATTTTTCTCCCATACAGCAGATTAAAAGTGTTTTACAATTCTTTGTGGTGAAAATAGCAATATAAAGAAATTTCTTAATTCCCTTGTTTCTGTTCAGTGAAAGAAACCCATTTTAATTACAGTGTGATTCATTCCAATACCCCGTGTGTGAAATGAAAAGGAAGATCAATGCCTCACAGTCAGATTTTATTGCTTGAATATTATACCGACAACACTCTAAAGAAGCACACTTTTGAAAGATTTTTTTAAGATTCGTACTAAAAGCAACAGCAGGAAAAGCAAAACAACAAAACCCCCCTTCTTACAAGAGAACAAAGGGGTTTAAGTTAATCCTGTTTTGGTTGTGCAATACCATAATTTTAAAATCTTAAACTTAGATCATGATTTTGTTAGATAACATTTTCCTTGTTCTAAAAACTGTAATTATTCATGCTAAGAACATAACAGCCTGCAAACGGGTGTTGCCAGACCAGATACCTTTACACCCCTGTCCATCTGCACACATAGCTGTGAACTCCAAAATCCAAATGAACTCATACATTTTTCCTGCTGTGGAGTGAAAACAATTACATGCTTTCATGAGCTTTATAATACATTTTCCATTGTTCCATAGAGACTTCTAAAATTTTCTTTAAAGAACATGCTGCCATCTAATACACACTTAGAAATTAAGCCTTCCATGATTAGCGAGAGATTGATATTCCCTGTAGACAGGACACAAGGACTAGAATTTGTACAGACATTACACGCCAGTTAGCATAAATTCCACGAGTGCGGCCCATAAAACCATTCATGAGGAAATTGAAATGTGACAATTGTTGGTAACTCTCTGTAAATACTTTTTTTCCGCTTCATTTTTTTTTTTTAAAGGCATGCAACACATTTCAATGCAGATATTATATTATTCGCCTCCACTACCCAAAACTGTAAATTTATGTCTGTGCATGATTTAGCTCTACATTCTAGCAGTTATTTTCAGTTATTTCCTGGAAGGGACACCGCTCTCCTGGTCGCATGGCCTGTGGTGACCGGCTGGCAGGACCAGTCCTCTGGCCATTTGCCCAGAGACCCCTCCGAGCAGGGGGCTGCGGGGCCCCTCCCGTGCCCGTGGCCGCAGAGAAAGGCAAGGCAGGCAGCAGCACGGCCACGCTGGCTGGGCCCAGGCACCAGCAGCCTTTATTTGGCACGTTCCCCTTGGAAAGGCGCTCCTCGCCCCTGCCACCCGTTGCTGGCAGCTCTCCGGCTGGAAAGGGTGGACGCCGTGACAGCTCCTCGGGGCTGCTCGCAGCTCCTTGGCATGGCGGGCAGTCCCTGGGCCCTCCCGCGGCGCTCCAGCAGCCTCGTCTTCTCCCCCTTGCTAAAGGACACAGCAGAAAAGGGCCTCAGCTCTGTGGCCGGGGAGAAGGGCCCCCAGCGCCCCAGCGCCCCAGCGCCGGGCTCAGGCCCGTAGCTCTCAGAGGAGCGGCCGAGCCCAGCCCGCTGCTCCGGGTGGCGTCTCGTGGGCCCTCGTGCCCCAACCAGTCTGCAGCGAGAAGAGCGCAGAGCAGCCGGGGGTGAAGCCGGGCAGGGCCGAGACCCGGGACAGGGCGGGCGCGGCAGCTGAGGGCTGGCTGCCTGCGAGTCACTGCGCGGCGAGGGCAAGCACGGGCTGCCGCCGTTGGGAAGGCAGAGCCCAGCCAGCCGAGCCAGCCTTTCGTGGCCAGCCCGGCCACCTCCAGCGCTGGGAGCTGCCCAAGGCTTTCCTCGGCCTCTGCAGGACCTGCGCACACTTACACTTCCCACGCTGTCTGCGGGGGGTGCAGCTCTGCCCGCCCCTCGGACGCCATCTGCCTCGCAGGCCTCTGGCAGCTCTCCTTCTCCTGTAGCCTCTCCTTCAGCTTCTCGGCGTAGGCCTTTCTCAGGAGGTGGGGAGGGCGATAGGGATCCTCGAACAGGTGGCGGCAGGAGGTCTGCGAAGGCAGAAGAGGCTCTCCTAAAGCACTGCCGCCAACAGCCTGGGGCCGCTCCCAAGGCTGCACGCTTCGGCCTGGGGCCGTCGCGACGGCTCCTGCTGCAGGGCAGCGGGCAGGGCAGCGGGCAGACAGAAGGCCCCTGCCTGGCGCACTGCCGGGAGACCTTCCCTGCTCCCCCCGCAGGGAGCAGGGCGGGGAAATGCCCTTTGGCTGGCGGCTGCCAAGTGCATGCCATACCTGGCCTCGCTCCATGTGCTGCCCCGCTCTCTTGGCATGGTATTGGTGCCACACTTCCGCTTCCACCTCTTTGCGCCTGGATGCCATCAGCACCTGGTGCCGTTTCCCTGCCCTCTCCGCGCGGAGGGAGCCCGTTCCCTGGAGGACACGCGCACAGCACACACGCAGCGTTAGTCTCCCCTGGCTCGGGCAGGGCCGGGGGCTGGGACGGTGGGCAGCTCTTGCCACCTCTTCGGCCCCGGCCCAGAGCCCGAAATGTGCCAGAGGACTGGCAGATCCCTGGGGCGTACCATTCCTGAGGGCTGCGCGGCACATGCAGGGAGCTGCAAGTCTGGGCAGCCTGGAGGTCTGGCCTGCGTCAGGTCCTCCTTGGAATTCTGCTGGATTACTGGCAGGAATCTGCAGAGGCACGGCAGCTGAGCCTGTGGGAGCCCCGCCTGAGGTGCTTGCTCTGGCATGGGCTCACAGCCTGCCCCCGGTGCCGGCAGCTCCCGGCACTTCAGCAGGAGGAGCAAGTGTCGAGCAGGACAAGGTCTCCGGGGCCTTTTCTCCCCAGCACAGGCACCCCCGGCCACGGGAAACATCTCACTCTCACTACAACAAGGGCACAGTGTGCCCCCATGCCCCCAGCCCCACCGCTTCTCCAGGAGGCTCACCTGCCTGGGCCAGCTTCCTTGGCTGTAGCCTGTTCGCCTTCCTTCACCTGCTGTCTGGCTAGAGAAACCCTCCGCTGAGCCAGGAACACTGGATCCAGCACACTCACTGCGAGCAGGAGGCAAGAGAAGAGCACAAGAGCATCTTTGATAGTTGGGCAGAAGCAACGACCCCAGCGCAGAAGAGATTTCCTCCTCAGAGCCAAACGCGTGGCTTGCCAGAGCTACGCGGGCTCGGCCCGGTCACAGCTCCAGGCAGAGTTGCTGGAAGGCAGCGCCCAGGGCAAAATGGGACGCAGAACCCTTGGCTGCCGTTCGCCATGAGGGGCTGTCCAGCTCAGAGCCTCTTCCCAAACGGGTCACCCGCGCGTACTAGGACGGCTGCGCAGGCTCACAGAGCTGCTTTCTCCTCTCGCACAACTCGCACAGTGACCCTGGCTCTCCTGCCCTCGGGAGGACGTGAGGAGCACCCACAGCCCCCTGCCAGCACTCGGCTGGGACCTTACCTCTGCGGGCACCCCCGCCCCAGGGCGCCAGATCTCTCGTGGGCTTCAGAGAAATCGTGGGGACCGATGTTTGGTGGGGGATCTCAAATGCAAGCCTGGAAACAAGAAGGCAGCAGCTGGGCAAAAGGCCACCCCGCTCCCTTGCGGGCTGAGACTAAAAACTGCTGGCAGGCATCTGTGGGAGCCACTGCCGAGTCCTTGGAGGCCACAGGTCTCTGTGGGGCCCGAGGGGTCCCACGTCCTCCTTCAGCCTCTGCCGCTGCTTCCCTCGCCTTCCTGCCCGAAAGCTGATGATCCCAGCACACGCCCTCCTTGCTGCCCCACAGACCCTCCCGCCTCTCTCGCTCTCTCAGCGCAGATCGAGAGCGGACTGATCGCTGCGTTGGCACTCTCCAAGCTGGGGAGCAGCCAGCAGCCACGGACCGGGAAGCTCTTCTCCTGGGAAGGAGCTGGTCTTGCCGAGTTTGGCAGGAGAGGAGCCTCAGCAAGAGGGTGCCCCCGCCTCGGGGGCTCAGCAGCTGCTCCCTTGACCAGCCAGGGGCTGCAGAAGCCATCCTGCTCACCTTGGCAGCGTGATGACCGTGTCTCGACTGCGACGACTAAAATCGTTTTTGCCCGCGAAGGCCACGATCCTCATCATCTTAGGGTCCTGCAAGGGGACAGGGACACGTCAGCAGACGCCCATGCCGGTTGCTCACAAACCGTCTCGCTGCTCAAAGACACAAAGCTGCCTCTCCGAAAGCCTCGCACCACCCTCTCCCTTGATGCCATCAGCCCCCTCCCTTGAAGGGGCCGAGGTGCTCCTGAGACACGGCCTAGCTCACGGGGAGCGTGTCTAGGCCAGGCGGCGAGGCAGGCGACAGCAGCCAAGAGAAAGCAGCTGGAGAGAGCTTTGACAGCATTGCCACAGAGGCACGAGGAGCAGCCCCAGAGAAATGACAAGCTCACCCCGAGAAGAGCTGCCAGCATGTTCCCTGTCCCATCCAGCTCCAGCAGGCACTCGTCCAAGAAGGTCATGCTGACCACTTTTTTTCGCACAGCAAGGATGCCGATGCCCTTGAAGGAGAGTTCCACCTCCTTGTTTTCTTGGAGGGCCTCGGCGAAGAGAAGCAGGGTCTCGTGTACGCACTGCTCCACGATTTCCGGGCGGAAGTGGGTTTCTGCAGCAATCTGCTTAAAGTCCAGCTGAACAAACTGGGTCTTGTCTAGGAAACAAGCGCAGAGCAACCAAGTCACTCCCAGCACAGTTCAGCCCACCCTGAGACGAGGTGCCATCAGCGCCCAGCCCTCGGGCAGCGCCCTGCCAGAGCGCGCTCCCCTTTCAGCTTCGGCCACGTCTCCAGAGCGGCCCTGATGGACAGGAGAAGGCACAGAGAGGCTTTGCCTCCTGCTGCGAGCAACCAGCTGGAGCGTAGGGTGAGCTGGGGAGATGAGGCTGGCTGCCCGGGGAGGGGCAGGGTGCCGGGCTGCCGTACGCGTGCCCACGCTCAGCACTCTCCACGCTGGAAGAGCCTTTGCTCAGCTGTGTCACGGCACCACGTCAGCACCCAGCCAAACGCAAGAGCTGGACAGGGGCCACGCCCGTCTTCTTACCAGGAATTTGGGTCTTTGCGTGCTTGAGGCTGTAGAATTTCTTCAGAAACCTGCTCAGCTGGAACACAGGTCTCTCAACAGGCAAAACCTCGTCCTCTCCCACCGTGGCATGCACCGGGACAATTGCAAATGTCCCAATTCCGATCTCCACCGCCTGAAAACACAAGCAAGAAGAGGGAGCATTGTCAGGGCTGCGCAGAGGCTGGAAGGCTGCCAGATGACTCGCGTGTCGCCTTTGGGGTGGTGCTTTGTGCCCTGCTCGGGAGGCCCAGCGGGGCAGGACGGGGCACGGGCAGGAGGCAAGGCTCACCTTCTTCTGCAAGAGCTGGCTCCGGATGTACCTAGATGTGCCAGCCCAGACTTGCTGGATTTCTGGAAAGCAAAGGAAAGGCACGCCGTGCTCTGAGTCAGCAACGGCCACGCATCCAGCAGCCCCTACCCACGGAGGCGACAGTGGCATGCACTCAAGCCCCCTTGCCCAGAGCAAACCCTTGCGCTGCCGGGGCTGCCCAGCTGCGCTCTTGACTGCCCCCAGCCTCCAAGAAGCCTGCCCTGTGCCCGTGATGGGCCTGGGGAGGACAGGCAGGCATCGGTAGTGTTTTGGGGAAGGGGATCCCGCCCTTTCATGTGAGCAGAGGTAGCTAGAAGCGTGAGCTACCAAAGCCACCCTCAAGGCCCAAGTCTCCATCGGGCAGGGCTCTCCCTGCAGCTGCCGGTCCCCTCCAGAAGAGCCCTGCTACAGCCCCATCCCCAGGCTCAGCGTTTCCAGAGCTCACGTCCCCTTCGCCTTGGCTCCCACAGCGCTCCTGCAAGGGCCCCCTGGGGCCTTACCTCTGGTGGTGAGCTCCTTGAGGGTTGGGAGATCCTCAGGCCCCAAGGGGTTAAAGAGCAGGTACTTAATCATCCTTTCCCCCTTGCACTGCAGCATCTGGGGAAGCGGTGCGCGTCCTGCTCCAAAACCCCTCTGCTCCTCGTCTCCTTCTCCTCCTCCTCCTTCTCCAATCTCCTCCTCCTCCTCCTCCTGGTCGCCACTGCCCAAGCAGCGTCTCCAAGGCTCTCCCGCGGCCTCCCCTCGCCTCCTCCTGGCAGCAGGGCAGCTCCTGCGGAGCAGAGCGCTGGCGAGAGCAGCCCTGGCGTTGCCCAGGCCTCGCCAGGGAGTGTGGCCGGGGGCACGGTGGGGAGAGGGAGCTGTCGCTGTGATGCGGGTGTCCCACTGTGACACCGCGCCGTGTCACACAGGGCTGCGGGCACCCTCCCCACGCTGCACGGGCAGGGCAGCCCCACTGGGCACCTCAGCCTGCGGCGCTGACACTCCCGCCTGCGCATCTCAACTCAGCCCGCCTCGGCTGCCCTCCGAGATACTCCTGGAAGGAACGCGCATTAATGCCGAAGGGGCTTCGCGCACTCGGAGCGGGGCTGGAGAGGTCCAGCCCAGGCCGCAGGGGGAAGCGACCCGCAGCTTTGCTCCACGAGACAGCACATCTTTAGCAGTTCAGAAGCTTCCCTTTGCAAAATGTATGTACCAAATGATCTCATTTTCTTCATCACTGGAGCAGCATTCCCACCTAAGCTCCTACTTCTTCCTATCACTTCGCCCATTTTGAGCTCCTTAAGAGTATTCGTTGATTTACGGGACATGACCAGAGAGCACTAAAAAAACCCAACATCCTAGGTCCTAGGTTGCAGTTGAAAGTTTCCATCAACACATTATTTCTAATCTGGAGCCTTCCTGAACAACCCAAGAGTAACAGCAAAATGAAGCTTGTGCTAGACTCATGCAAATCTCATTGTCTTTTCATCAGAGTTAAGTTTCTTTCCACATTTTCCAGCTTTTGTCTTTCTTTGCCTCTACCATCCATAGCGATCTGAAAACCACTGACGACCCTTTTAAGGCAGGAGCCAGTTCACTAACCCCCGTTACAGAGTTCCTTTTTCTTTTTTTTTAGTTGTATTAACTCAAGAATATGCTCAGTAGTTTATTACTTCTAACCCTGCATTCTAGTGAAAGTTAAGATTCCAAGCTGATGCCATTATTGAAAATAATCATATTGTACTTCCTTGTTTAATGGTACCGAAATCCTGCTCCAAGATGAACATGGTATATATTTGGCTACTGAAAGGTCATGTTTTTGTGTACAGTTGTGTGCATATATTAAGTGTGGTTTGTTTTGTCTTGTTTTTTTTTTTTTTTTTTTCCCCCGGTTACCCTAAAAAAAGGGAATTGTGCTACCCTTGAGTTAGGTATATCAAGAGCAGAAGGAATTTTCTGCCTAAAAGATACTACAGTGAAAAAAAAAAAAACAACATAGGGGCAATTAAAAAAATAAATTAAAAATCTATATTAAAAAATAAAGACTAGTTTTTGTTTTAAAAACTTAAGAGGGTTTTGGTTTTGTTTTACTTTGGTTTGGGGTGTGTTGCTTTTTTCACTTTTCAAAACTATAATTCACATGATTGAATTCTCTCCTTGATTTCAGTTAAACCCTTGAAAGTGCTGAGCTGTTACGTGGTTGTTTTGGTTAAAATTGCTACCTTACACTTCCAACAGTCACTGATTTTTCTCCCATACAGCAGATTAAAAGTGTTTTACAATTCTTTGTGGTGAAAATAGCAATATAAAGAAATTTCTTAATTCCCTTGTTTCTGTTCAGTGAAAGAAACCCATTTTAATTACAGTGTGATTCATTCCAATACCCCGTGTGTGAAATGAAAAGGAAAATCAATGCCTCACAGTCAGATTTTATTGCTTGAATATTATACCGACAACACTCTAAAGAAGCACACTTTTGAAAGATTTTTTTAAGATTCGTACTAAAAGCAACAGCAGGAAAAGCAAAACAACAAAACCCCCCTACTTACAAGAGAACAAAGGGCTTTAAGTTAATCCTGTTTTCTATATTGGTTGTTCTATAGACAGGCTCTGTCACATGTGACAGTGATTGGAGATGACAAACACCTTAACGCTGAACTTCCTCCTTCTTCCCACAGCCTTTATTGCTGAGCACAACACCATATGGTCTGGGGTATCCACCTGGTCAGTTGGGGTCAGGTCTCTTGGCTCTGTCCTCTTGGCTCTGTCCTCTCCCACATTGCCGAGCACCCCCAGCCTCCTCGCTGGCTGGGTGGTGTGAGATGCAGAGAAGGCCTGGGCACTGTGCAAGCACCGCTCAGCAACAGCTAAAACATCCCTGTGGTATCCACACCGTTTTGGCCACACAGCCAAAGCATAGCACCATGCGAGCTACTGAGAAGAAAATTAACTCAGCCAAACCAGTGCACTCTGTTAGCACTGTTCCATCTTGAATAAAACGGATCAGGTGAAGTGTTGTGTCTCTTTTCCGTATGTGTATCTTAACTTTATAACCTCCAAGACTGGTTAATCTAATGTGTTAATTTGCTCTTAGGGCATATGCGAAGGAGGTTTACAGTGGCTCAATTGCTAGATGAGGGCAGGTAAAATTCATACTTAGTCATGATCATACCAGGAGGATCAGGTGAATTTGCTAGTTATTTGAAATTAAACTTCTGTGAAGATTATATTTTACTTTTATTTCGTGCTCCAGTCATCCTCTTTACCAATGCATTTGCCTGGTGAAATGTTTACAGAAAAATGCAATTATGTACATGTTTTTCTACCATCAACAATGTCTGGTTATAAACATCACAGTCTGCAGGAACATTAAGAAGAATTAGAAGTGTTCCCTTTGAAGTAAATGGCTTTACGGTAGTTTGCCTGATTCAAACAGCTTGGCTAAACCTGATCAAAATCTCATTATAACTACTCATTATTTTAGTTAACAAAGATGCAGCCAACAGCTTTATTAAGGATACTAAAAACTCTTTTAGGATTTCTGTTTGCCTTTTACTGCCACTGTTTGATATGCTAAAAACATTATACTTCAGAGCTGACATTCAGACTTTTCATAGAGCGTACAAGCATCTGACAGCAATTTAATAAATAATAACTGACAAATGTGACAACAATAAACTTCATATATGAACAATGAGTAAACTAAAATACTATTTTAGAAATATGCTGGAACTGAAAAACTGATTTTCTTAATTTGATGCTTGTGTATACATGATGAAATAAGCCTCAGTAAATAGTGAGACAAGACTATATCTGAGAATATCTGTCAGCTGATAGAGTACACTACAAACTCATAACTATTTTATACTTAAAATTTACATGCATTTTCTGAGGAAACTGAAAGTTTCTTTAGAAATTAGCAACAAAATCAGGGCAAGTGTCGTGGTTTAGGCCTGATTGACAGCCAACCACAACGCAGCACCTCTCTCTCCCTTCCCCTCCGGCAATGAGAAGGGACAGAGAGCCAGGCTTGGGGTTCAAGATAGGACTGGGATGGGGGAAAATCCCCCTTTCATGATCACGAGCAAAAGGCAGACTCGTTAGGGGAAGAAAAAAAAGAACATACATTTATTACAGACACTAAAAACACATAACAGAGTAGGACAGTGAGAAGCATTGCCACATCTTGAGAACACCTTCCCCCCACCCCTCCCTTCTTCCCGGGCTCAGCTCTGCTCCCGATATCTCTACCTCCTCCCCCAGTGGCGCAGGGGCAGGGAATGGGGGGTGCAGTCAGTGCTGCCACTTCCTTCATCTTCGGTGAGGGGAGTGTCCGAAACTTGTTCCCCCTGCTCCATCGTGGTCCCCCTCTCACAGGAGACAGTCCTGCACAAACTTTCTCCTGACTTGAATTCCTCCCATGGGCCGCAGCGTTCCCCACACTGCTCCGTCATGGGTCACTAACTTCCTCCGACTGGATTCTCTCCCACGGCTGCAGCCCTTCCCGAGCTGCTCCGGCGTGGGACTACCCCCGCATGCTGCAATCCTCCCAGTGCCTGAATTACAGCAGCGGGGCTAGCCTTTTCCCATGAGACCCCGGCCTTCTTCAGGCACAGAACCTTGATCAGCCTGAGCAGGAACAACAGGCTGTAAATCAATGTCTGCTCCACCGTAGATCTTCATGGGTGGCGGGGGGGGGGGGGCGCCCTGCCTGTCTCACCACAGGATACAGGGGGGTCTCTGCTCCGGCACTACCTCCCCCCTCCTTTCTTCCTCCGTTCCTCCACTGACCTTGGTGTTCATGCAGCTGCAGCAACTCCTCCTCACAAGTCCGACTGCCCATCACCACGTCCCTTCTTAAATACGTTATCGCAGAGGCGCAGCCGATTGGCTCAATTTCCCAAACAGAAGTGGATCTGACGTGGAGCTGGGGGAGCTTCGAGAAGCTTCTCACAGGGGCCCGCCCCGATAGCCCCCTCCCCTGCCACCAAAAAACTCCACCACTCACTCAACCCAGGACAGCAAGAAAAATAATTCAGGTGTCCAATAAACACTAAAATTGTACCTAAATAGCTTGGGTCATCATTATTCGACAGGCAACAACTCCTACTTTAAAACATGGTAGTTCTTCAAAAACAAGTAGCATTTCAAGGAGATACTGAATCATAGCCGATCATCCTATAATCCGAAGGCCACCAGAGTGTTCAAGCCAGTTCCAAGGATGTCCACAAAGGACATTCTTTCAGAAAAGGAAAAAAATTAGATGGTCCTAAAACAACTGTTTGAAGTGAAATTGTCCAAGAGTCCAGAGAATCATGAAATCCAGGAGAGTCATTATCACTTGGAACTCCAAGTTTATATCTTCTCTGAAAAATACTGACTTCATCAGTATCATTAATGCAGGCCAGATCCAGAAGGTGAATAGTAAATACTTTCAATCCAATGTTGTAAAGATTAATGCTTATGATGAATTTTATATTGTGAATAAGAAACCCCTGGCGGGTTCAGAGGAACCACTGTCAATTAATAAGCATAAACAGATACACTCATCGTATAAACTTTCTTTTCTGAAATGAAAAGATGGGTTTTTTTAAACAGTTGAAGTTTTTCAAAACATTTCTCATTCATATACTAGCCCAATTTACATAATGGGTTTTTAGGATTTTAAGATAGATTGCATTATGGAATAAGTATGTTGATGACTTTTAGCTGTCGTTCATCCTACCATAAAAGGGATCTGAATTTGATCATGTTTTTCATACAGCAGCATTCTACAATCTTGATTTACTTTCCTGTTTAAAAAACTATATTGTAAATACACACTAAAGGAATGGAGAAAGAGTGCGGTAGCGATGAACAAAGAAACTTTTCTGCTTTCCCACTTATTCAAAGGTGAATTCAATTCAGTTTCCCTGTGTTTCACCTATGATTACCTGAAAAATAGAGTCGTAGAATTAGATTCATATGTCTCACATCAAAACATACTTTCTTAACCCAAAGGGCAAGTATACTTTCTATGCAAAGAGAGTGAGTTAGAATTATCTCCTTCTGATCGCATAGACACGGTGTCTCTCATTTTAAGCACATACTTGGGAGAAGCTTTATGTAGAATATACTCAGCTTAGACAGTCATCATGTGGCAGCAATTAGATGCAAAAAAATAGTTTTCAGATAAGTCAGACATTCTTCCTCATCGTATCATATGGTAGGATTTGAATGCCTAGGTGTGATCTGCTTTTATCTTTCTCTTTTAATTCTTTATGACAGAGGTACGGAAAATTTTTCTGGATGATTCACAACTATTTTTCTCATAAGTCAAAAGTGTTGGAGAATTTTCTTAGCAAAGTGGTTGTAGTGGCCACACTATGGGACATTTTGCTTTTTTAGCTTATTTATTACACTACTGAACAAATAAAAGTGAGATTTGTAGTTGAAACTTTTCTCCACCAGCATGATATGTTGCCTTTTCTATGGAAGTGTGCATTGGCCGTCCTGGCATAATAATTTCCACTGTCTCCCTGTGTTGTGGTTTAACCCCGCGTGACAGATAAGCACCATACTGCTCCTAGACCTAATCAAGCTACTATGAAGAAATTATAATTCCATCCTGGCCAAAACCAGTACACCCTTGTACTTCTTCACTTTGCATTCAGTGCACAAACAGCTATTTATTTTTAAACAGACAAAGACACAAATATGTATACATATTGACCCAAGCTGCATAGTTCATGTGGTATCCCATTCATACAAGACTGTTCCTTCCCTTTGGCTTCAAAGTTTATCCACCTGACAACTGGCTTATTGCTTCGTCAAAGACTGCAGTGGCACTGTTACATTCACTTTATTTAACAGAATGAACGTTTAGTAAATTGTATGGGTTAGGTACACATAACATTACATTATACAAAATATCCAGTTTGTATTTGACATAACCATGTTAACCTTCCCTTTAAAAAGGTGTTTCCACGAGTGCAGCCCATAAAACCATTCATGAGGAAATTGAAATGTGACAATTGTTGGTAACTCTCTGTAAATACTTTTTTTCCGCTTCATTTTTTTTTTAAAAAGGACATGCAACACATTTCAATGCAGATATTATATTATTCGCCTCCACTACCCAAAACTGTAAATTTATGTCTGTGCATGATTTAGCTCTACATTCTAGCAGTTATTTTCAGTGATATCTCCCCAGCCTGCTCGTCAGAGCCAGCGGATAAAACTTGATTTCCTCTTGAAGCTGGATAGCTCGAAACATTCTCATAAAAACCCGTTATCTGTACCCACTACTTTAAACTTACTAAACTGCAGTACTGTCACTTGTTAAGTCTCAGGTTCTCTTTCTTTTGCCATCCGAAAACCCCAGCGGAAAAGTTCCAAAAAAACCCAGTAGAAACACCTTCACATGGACCATAAGGTAAGGGCTGAAGTGCATGGCAAGTCTACAGACCACCACGGGATGTGAGAGGAAAAGAGGAAGCCACTCTGCCTCCTAGGTCTTGTTTACAGACAAAAGATGCTGTCACTGAACCAGTATTACGTTTGGGCTGCCACATACTGTGTACACCATGCCACACTACCACTAATACTGTATTCATATTCCAATAACCGTGTTCACACCACTAAAACTGCATCCTCCTTCTTTGTTTCTGTTGTGTAAAATCTGCAAGTCACACATGTATAAATGCAGTTGTCCACTCAGACTTTCCAGTAAACAAACAACAAGACACAGACTACCCTGGAAAAGCCCGCAGACAAGAATTTTCACTCTGGAAAAAGGAAGCTGCACGTTTAATGGAAAGCTTACAACCGTGAGAAGTGGCAAAAAAAAAATGAGTACTGAGCTGCCTCTTCCAATCGCGGCAGTGCTGAAAGGAAGTGGTTGGCAGCTGCTGTTTAAAATGGTGCGCACTGAAAAAGGGCTGGGAAAAAAATCTCTGGAAAGAAAAACCCATAGGGCTGTGGGATCGTTTTTGGAGGACGATGGCAACGCTGGACAAGAGCAAGTCTTTGGCTACATCGCCAAAGGGACGCGAAAAGAGGAAGAAGAACTGAGCGCGCTGTACAGCTGGTGCATGATGAGGACATCTGGACCTTCGTCGGCCAGAAGCCTCGGGACTAGCAAACAGGAATGCAGAAAAACAAGACAAGGATGCCGAGCTTTGTCTGAGGAAAACATGCAAGGCGACGGTTAATGGAAAACATCTGGCCGTTTCTTAAACAGTGGAGAGTTTTCTACCTTGAGCTAAAGGTGCATAGAACATTGTGTTTGTGCGTGTGAGATTTAATGAACCAATAGGCCTAGGATAGCAGTAACGGACTTGTAGCCGATGAGCTGTCTGGTGTATTACGGACAGAGGGTAGTGACCAATCAGATGTTAGCCTTAGGCGCATGGACAGCGTGTGAAGAATGCATGTAACCCATCAAGCTTTTTGTTTATGTGTGATCAGTTGCTAGGAGGATATATAAACAGCGCGCTTGTATCGGCAACAAACGTCTTGGATTTATGACTCTTACAGAGTTGCCGGAGTCCATTATTCTCCTCACAGGGCACGGCTGGCAGAAAAAATCTCTCTTGCTCTGGGACAACCTGAACAGCAGGGCCCCACGTTGTCGGAGGGCATTCAGGGGACGGCTGTCATGCTCACTCAACTTACCATTTTTCCCAGGGGTGAGGTGTTGGTCACAGTGGGCAACAGGCCCCTGAGCTCACCTGTCTTTAACAGGACCCTGTTCAGCTGCTGCTTTCTCCCTGCGGAGTCACAAAGAGCAGGCAACTTGCGGCAGCTTCACGTTCTAACAAGGAGTTGGTAAAGCGACTGCTTCCCCCCACTTCCCTCAGAGCAAGCTTTCTGGATGTACAAATAGGAATTGGCAGTGGCGGAGAAGACCTTACGGATCTTACACTATCATACAGAACCAGGTGGCACTGGGACGGTATGCTATTTTCCAGCTTTCCGTTCTCCCTGAGACAGGTTAAAGGAATGCTGCGTATCTGATGACTACACCTATGTTTGGACACCTTTCCTCAAAGTATTTTAAAATCATGGAGAGGGTTAAATGCAATTGGTTAGGTACAAGCACTGCATATCTGTGGCTGAAAGGAAAAGGCTTCCTTCATTTGACTATTTTTTCTCCTTCATAAAAGTTCCTGCCTGCTCCCTACCAGTACTCCCTGCCCGAATGCTTCTTGCTCTCCAGAGGCTCTGGTTCATGATTTTCACATTTGCAGTCATTCGGTCTCTCCGCAGGCATGTGTTGTTTCCTCTTATAAGAGTCAAATTAAGGCAGCACAATGTGTGGGAGTTGGCTCGTGTGCAGGTCTTTATGGTACTGAAACCACTGACATACTGTACCACTGGATTGCCAGTTATGCATATGAACATAGCGATGAAGAAGTTGGTCTGTTTTGTTTTGGTTTGTTTTTCTTCTTTTTTCTAACTGTAAATGAATTGAAGCACTTTGGCAATGAGTGTAAATGATGCCAAGTTTTGGTTTTCTTCTTTTTTCTAACCGTAAATGAATTGAAGCACTTTGGCGATGAATGTAAATGATGCCAAGTTTCAAGCAAAGCTTTGGAAAAGTACCCAGCATTTTGTCAATATCCTAAAACATCACACCACAGCAAGGCAGAATAACGTTGACTTCCGACAATACATGTGCACTAAAAATGGTAATTTTCCTCTACCCTGAAGTGATCTAAGGATATCACTTTCATATTTTACCATGCATTAAAAACCTTCTTCATCCCTGAGAACGCAACAGGCCCTTAACTCAAGACTGAGATTTCACATGGCAAGCGAAAGATTTCTCTACACATCATCCATTAACTTAGAATTTTGCTTTGAATGTTCATTCTCATGACAAAGAAAGGGAAAGTCAAAGTTTTAAAAGAAAACGCTGGGTTTTCCTATAGAACTTCCTTGGTCTGTGCATTTTCTGGCCCCTGAGAAAACTGATGGGATTCTTCCCAACCAAACTCCAAAGTGAAAAAGGATGTACAGTTTATTGTAGTTTGTCGACAGACATTTTCTCCTAAACAGGCCTTTGTGCAACCTCAGCTTCCCTGGGAATTCCTAACAAAGTTTTGATGCAATATTACTTACACGCGTGTTCAGAAACAACTGGAGTTTCCCAGGACTCTCCCTCCAGTTCTTTGATTGCTCATTTTGTTGGCCACTAAGAGTCACAACTCCACGCATCTCAGCATCCTTAAAGCCTCAGCTCCCAAGGCAGAGCCCCATCCCACATCCAGGGAAAAGCAAGGAAACAGTCAATGATCAAATTAAGTAATGATTTCACTTGCTGAGTAAATGAATGTCTGAGTTTTGTGCTGCATGAGAAATACATCCAACACACACACACACAGAGCTTTAAAAGACAGTTTGTCTCTCAGCATTTCCTATGAAAGTCTAATTCCCGGTAACATCCATTTACTTTCCCTGCTCAGATTTAAAGCTGTCTTGTGACCTAAAAGAGGAAGGTAAGGTAAGAACCAATGCAGAGGCAACACTCTTCAGCCCAAGCTAAAAAAGCTGAACTAGTTCCCCTGCATGTTATTTTGCTTTGTCTTGCCTGACTGGACACCAACTGTGACAAAATAAATTCTTCTATCATGTTTTTGCTTGGCTAAATCAAGCCAACTCAAGAACAAATTTATTAAAAGGGAAAAACCATGGGAATGATAGAAAGGAGGAAAATCTCCTTTCCGTTATCTGGGTAACTTGCAGTGCTTTATGTGTGAATGAACAAATCTTCTTTCAAGCTTGACAAGCTGCCAGCAATTTGGATTTGTTCTCATAATATACCTAAAAGAAAACTTCTTATTTCTGCTTCTAATTCATCTCTTCGGCCACAGACACGTATATGTGTAGTTTAATTCACAAGTTAGTATTCAATAAGTTTAGAAGAGCCATTTGCTGTGATTTGGAAGGCCTTAAACAAAACCTCAGGAATAGCTTCAAGACAAACAGGAAGTTATGTCCCTGCTAGCACTGCTGAGACAGATGAACAGCTCACATAATAGCGTAGAATATCTGAACTTTAAAAAGTTTCACTTTCTGCCAAGCTTCTGCGCAACACTCGGTAGTGAGGATCCCAGTTAAAAGACCCAATAAGGTAATGGTCCATAAAACAGAAGACAGCACAATACTGAAGGACCTCTTCAAGCTGGGCCAAGTATTAAAGTAGGTCTCGAAGGGGACTAGAACTGAAGCCCCTGTTGTTTTCTTCTGTGCAGATCACCTCCATGGAGTGTTGATGGAGAAAGTGAAATGCTGAGCCTTAAGCCAGTTTCAAACAGATTTAATAAGGATTTGGAATTGCTCTGCAAATGGCCTGACAGATGGTGAAAAAAGTTTAATGTTGACAAATGGACAGTAATACACAGCAGGTTCAAAAAACCCCAGACGTGCTGGGGTACACATGAATGAAACAGGATTCATTCTCAAGGCCTTAACAGTTGACTTCTTGTTAGCAAGCAAACCATGTATAATTATAAAGCTGCATAACCAAGCTGGTGTGAGGTGTTTAACAGCTCAAACTAAGAAGTCTGGAATACCAGCACACAAAGCTTCACTGCAGCAGCTTGTCATGAACAGAGCTCTCACATGCTTGGAATAGTTTGTTTAATCTGACATGCTGCAATCAATGCACCCAAGAAGAGACTCTTCTTGTGATCTCTCCTGTTGTGCAACCGCATAGCAAGAGCAGCCGCTCACGCTCTCTAGTGTAACAGGGCGAGGAAGGACTTTGCAGCTCTGTTGCTGCAACTCAGGCCAAGGTGCTGCAGAGGACTTTCACGTATAACTTCAACATAACTTCCAGGAGGATCTGTTCCATGATCTTACCAGGCACTGAGGTGAGGCTGAGTGCTCAGCAGTTCCCAGGGGCCTCCTTATTACCTCGTTTGAAAATGTGTGCAGTTTCCCTTTTTCCAGTCACCGGGGTCTTTGCCTGACTGCCGTGACATTTCAGAGGCTGGCGTGGAAATGACATCTGCCTGTTCGCTCAGGACCACGGGAGGCCTATTCCAGGGTCCCATGGACTTGTGCATACTCTATTCAATCCAGTCTACCGCTTCCTTCACGACACTCATCCCAACTTTCCAGCAATTCCGCTTGTGTTGTAGTTTTCTGAGGATGCCAGAAGACACATTTTGGAATTTGCTCCCTTTTGTGAGGTTGGTCTGAGCTCCAAAGAACATGCAGGCTGAATACTGCTAACACTGCAGTAGCAGCAGAGCACTTATACTGCTCAGTGCTCAGTACAAGGGTTCAGAGCGGCTGTTGCCAAGGCCTGAGCAAACAGTGGACAAATTGGGAGGCAAGAGTCACCTCATGTTCCAGACATGTCCGGCTTAGTTGCACATACTGCTCCTAGTGCTCTTTTACCCTTTCAAATCATGGTTTTCTCCTGTGTGCAGTGCTTTACCTGGCAAAAAAAGGGCTTTTTCAAAAGTTATGCTCCTTCCTAAATGAATAAACATTCTGCAAAGGTCATTGGACAGTTCTTGACGGTCAGCCAAGGGCTCATCTAAGGAGTGTAGCCCTTCAAGGAGCATCAGGCCCAACAGTTAGCCAAGGGCTCATCTAAGGAGTGTAGCCTTTCAAGGAGCATCAGGCCCACCATTTTCTTTTGGCAGTGTGAATCTGCTCTAAGAGTGATGTGACCAGCCACGGAGCTCTGGTCATCCATGAAAAGTGGTGTTTAGATGCAGAGAAGCTGTGCTCTGAAGACCTTGAGGCCCATGTCCTGGAAGGGACACCGCGCTCCTGGTCGCATGGCCTGTGGTGACCGGCTGGCAGGACCAGTCCTCTGGCCATTTGCCCAGAGACCCCTCCGAGCAGGGGGCTGCGGGGCCCCTCCCGTGCCCGTGGCCGCAGAGAAAGGCAAGGCAGGCAGCAGCACGGCCACGCTGGCTGGGCCCAGGCACCAGCAGCCTTAATTTGGCACGTTCCCCTTGGAAAGGCGCTCCTCGCCCCTGCCACCCGTTGATACAGGGCCTAGATAGGAACAGGGGATGTAAGGGTTAATATGGGAATAGCAAGAAGGGGATGACGAGGGAAATAGTCGAGATAAGAGTTTGCTTAGCTTGTGCGAGACAGATATTGCTGTGTTTGTGTTGCTCGACCACTATCTCCTGTTTAAGTACAAAGCCTCCTCCACCCCTGAGTAAGTGGGTGTCAGTAGAAGATTACCCCACAACCGGCACAAACCTGCTCTGCGGGTCCAGGGGTTGACAGAGACTGCGCAGGAATTCGGGATGAAAAGTTCAGCACTGAGGAAGAGGAGATACTTCCTCCCACGACCACCGCCCAGTCCTTCACGACCCCTGCCCAGGACCAAAGGAACTCACTGCGCAGACTCAACTGGGAGGAGATCATGGAAATGCTAATTTTAATACGAAGCGGGGATAGGTGATGCATATGTATAGGCGTATTGCGAAATATTATGAATATGTAATCATTTGCTCTATAAATCTAAGGCAACGGTGCCACATGGCAGCACACACATTAGGAGGAGCGATCCCCTGTGTGCCCAGCGCTGAATAAACTTACCTACTTTACAATCTATCAGATTGTGGAATCTGTTTTCCACACGTCACCGTTGCTGGCAGCTCTCCGGCTGGAAAGGGTGGGCGCCGTGACAGCTCTTCGGGGCTGCTCGCAGCTCCTTGGCATGGCGGGCAGTCCCTGGGCCCTCCCGCGGCGCTCCAGCAGCCTCGTCTTCTCCCCCTTGCTAAAGGACACAGCAGAAAAGGGCCTCAGCTCTGTGGCCGGGGAGAAGGGCCCCCAGCGCCCCAGCGCCCCAGCGCCGGGCTCAGGCCCGTAGCTCTCAGAGGAGCGGCCGAGCCCAGCCCGCTGCTCCGGGTGGCGTCTCGTGGGCCCTCGTGCCCCAACCAGTCTGCAGCGAGAAGAGCGCAGAGCAGCCGGGGGTGAAGCCGGGCAGGGCCGAGACCCGGGACAGGGCGGGCGCGGCAGCTGAGGGCTGGCTGCCTGCGAGTCACTGCGCGGCGAGGGCAAGCACGGGCTGCCGCCGTTGGGAAGGCAGAGCCCAGCCAGCCGAGCCAGCCTTTCGTGGCCAGCCCGGCCACCTCCAGCGCTGGGAGCTGCCCAAGGCTTTCCTCGGCCTCTGCAGGACCTGTCAGATTATCGTCCCTCTGAGTTACATACAAACTTGGGGTAGTATTTATCTGGATGTGTATGTGCGAGTGGGTGGGACTGTGGTCAATCCGTTGTTTCTGGAATAAAGATACAGCACATTCCTTGGCACAATGTGCACGCAGTTACGGTAGGAAAAGCGGAAGCATGGGAGAGAGTGTCTGCGGAGTTGTGCAAAACATTCCTTGAGAAAAGGGGAAGAGCAGGAGATAAACCTGTATAATTCTGTCAAATATTCCTTGAGAAAAGTGGGAGAATAGGACCACGTGGCCTCCAATTCACATTCTTCCGTGGCGCCATGACAACACAAAACACTGGATCTTCTCACTGTCCTGTGCTTGTTTGGGGCACCAAGTGTTAAGGAAATACGCATTTTACAGTTTTTTCACTCTTTCGCTTCTCCCACACTTCACAGCAATGCATGAAGAAAACCAATGCCCACAGGTGGCAGGAGCCAGGCTCTGCACTGGCAGGTGTTCAGAAATGCCGAAATTGGGATGTCTTGCTGTAATGTGAGAATTCCATCACAGGAACTGTATTTTTCCATTTACTGACAAGGCAAACACCGAACTGTGGTACGGACACGCGTGCTTTGCGAATACAAACTGTCACTTGGCACTCGCACTGACTCGGGATGTTTAGATAGAGAAAGCCCAGAAGAGCCTTTGCCGCATGAAAACAGCAATAATGATAACGATAAACCCTTCCACCCTTGTGATGCCTATGTCGCGTACCGATGCAGCCCAAACTCCCAATAGGCTTGGGCTAAAAGTAGTTCTGAGGTCATACGAAAAGCCCAGGAGACCGGGGCTAGCCTGGTACTTGGGCCGTCTGGATGTGCCTCCTCCTCTGGGGGCCCAGATCCCTCAAGGGGAACTGCGCTTATTCATGGCACAGAGTCCACTGTGCACGTCCACTGAACTGCTAGGAAAGCAGCGGCAAGACAGAAACAGGGATTACCTGGATCACTAAATCTCATCTCCTGCAGGCGCATCAGCCATGAAATGAGCACGTATTCCAGAAGGGCTCAGGGCACTTCCTCCAGCCACCACAGAGGGTGCCTTCGGCACTCAGTAGCAAATGGATGGCCTGTCATAAAGTACAAGCTGCCAGGTCTTAGTGAGCGTTCCCCAGGCAGCAGCCAAGAGGAGAACCCTCAGCAGATCTGAAACAAGGGTCAGTGTGAAATGGGATATTAGCCAAATTTGGTATCATGCTTGCACGAGACAAGACACATTGCTTGTATCGCTCTGCCTCTATTTCCTGTTCAAAACAGGGCCCCCCTTTCCTTTCCTTAAATAAGTGTGTATCAGCAAAATATCACCTCCCAACCGGCACAAACCCGCTCTGCGGTTTAGCCCGGGTCCAGGAGGCGACAGAGACTGCGCAGGAATTCAGGATGAAAAGTCCAGCAGTGAGGTAGAGGAGATACTTCCTGCCCCGACCACTGCCCAGCTCTTCACGACCCCTGCCCCGGACCAAAGGAGCTCACTGCGCAGCCGCAAGGAGGAGGAGACCTAATTATAATAAGAAGCGAGGGTAGGCGGGAATAGGTTATGAATATGTATACGCGTCTCATGAATACGCAACACACTGTAACATATAAGCAAGACTAGAACGGCAGGGGGGCGCGCACGCTTGTTGCGGGGGAGCGTTCCGCCGTGCGCCCGGCGCCGAATAAGCATACCTGCTTTACAACCCTGAGTTGCGAAGTCTTTCATCCGTAAATCAAGTGCTCGGAGAGAAAGGGGAAACAAGGGAATTCTGAAAGCCTCGGAGCCGTCACGCCCCCACAACTCGTGCACTCAGGTCACTGTTGGGCGCTGTGCTGGAAACAGCCGCCAGCGCCCCCGACATGAGCCCCCTCAGGGCACCCTGGGGCCGGCAGCCGCCGCCGCTCCGACCGGCGGGGCCCGCGCGCTCCGCAGCGCCGGCCGTACCGATCGGCCCGGCCGCCCGGGAGCCCCCTCAGGAGAAGGGGGACGTGACCGGCGCGCCCGCGGCTAATGGCCGCCTGCCCACAAGATGGCGCCCGCGGGCCGCGTCGCGGCGGTAACGGTCGCCCGAAGGCGGGTTTTGTCCCGCTTCCATCAGGGTCTAGTTCTCGTTCTCTCGACTGGTCTTCCCGGTTTCAACCCTGCGGTCTGAAATGAGGGTTACCTCTCGGTACCTGCCTCAACTGATGCCATGGCTGAGAGATCGCACTAAGAAGATGCAGCTTCCATTTGGGTACAAAAAATTCTGTTCCTGAACGTCTGTATTGGTTTTGTCCTTGGACAACACTGCAAGCATAAACTTTTCTTCCAGGACGAGGAGCGGAAAACTGTTCGAGGATGAGTCTTCCTGCATCACATTAGCGATCCCTGCCAATAGCGGACTGTATCTGCTAGGTTCCTGCATGAGAAAGGAGGTGTTCTGTGGCTTTGTACAGATGAACTCGCATGAACCTGTAATTCCTGGTTGCCTCAGCAGGGAGACGCGAAGAAATCCGAACAGCGTCGGAGTAAAGGAAGAGGGTATTGCAGGCTGGAATGCCTTTACCGGGACTCAGTGTCAGATCAGTCACGCGACATGAACTACCCTATGGCCTAAGCCACAGCACTGCAGGGACAACCGGTCCCCGCAAACCAGAAGCCAACAACCTGACTAACTGCCAGTGGTTCAAATTTGCCGTACATTTATGACATAAATTGTGCCTCACGTGTTTGATTTTGCCACCTATTTTTCATGGCCTGTGTGAGTGGAAGAACGCTGTGTCCTTCACAAAATGATGTCACCTCTGTTTTCACAGTGGTTTCTCAAGGATGGGGGGGGGGGTCATGTCCGTCAAACCGTGGGCCTCGTGCTTGCCTCTGCTCTGCAACCAAGACAAAGGCACGGGGGGCGTGCAGAAGCCGTTTCCTGAGATCCTGACACTCTGTTACTGTGGGCCAATCTGGAGCGTACCGCCTCAGCATCCACACAGTTTATAAGACTAATCTTATCAAGAGCTTTATTTTAGGTGGATGAGACATTTTATACTGAAAAAGACCCCAGCGTGATGGTGACTGAGGCTGAGATGACTTGGCAAAGGTACCCGCCGTGAGCTGGAGGTGTCTGGGGAAGGAATTAAGAGTATGGAAACAGTGACGCCCTGCAGCCCGTCATCGCTGTTCAGGTGCACGTGGGCAGTTAGGGGAGGTCGGTGCCTGCGCACAGAAGACACAGAGGCAAAGGGCAGGGTCGGGAGGTGGTCCTGTCCCACTGTGATGGGAGGGAGGTGGTGCAAGTGACAGCCCTGTGTGTGGCAAGCAGTGGGGAAAGGGCCGGTGTTCGTTGTGAAAATGTATCCCTAAGTCGTGTTTTGGGGAGCCAGGCAGTAATCTAGCCATCGCCTCTTTCCTCCCTGCCGCGGACACAGGTTCTGCTTATGCAGCTTAAGCCACAGCCGGTCCCACGGACAGGGGAGGGCACCGGGGGCACTTTGCACCGGGAGCCTTCCCAAGACCCCGATGATGTGCATTTGTAACGGCACCTGGAGGCATTGCCAAAGCGACGGAGTTGGGCTTAAGGGCACACACACGGCTCCTTGTCCAACCTTGCTTGCTGGCACAGCCAGCACCCCCAGCGTGATAACTCTGACGAGACCCGTGTGCGTTCGTGTCCACTGCTGAGCTGCTCCGTGGCACAGAGACGCTGCAGCCGGGGCAGCCATCAGTTCCTCGGCTGGCAATGCGGAAGTGGGAGAGCTGTGGAAGAAGCTCTCACCCTCAGGTCTGGCCTTTGCTGAAACCAGTCCCCCTGCATTCCCCAAAACACAGCAAGAAGTTGTTTCTCACGCAGTTCAGGGCACTGAGGGAGAGTTGAGGCTGGGTTCAACGTTAAGAAAGTCCATCCCTGTCAGAACCAATGACCGTCCTCTGGATTCCAGGTCACCCCTCTCCTAAAGCAAAGCCTCCGGGAGAGACCCGGGCAGAAAGCTGACGAGGCATTTCCCAGGGCATAAGCACCAGTTCGCCTCAGGCACTGCTTCTCTGCGCCCTGCAGGGATGAGATCTGTCAAGAGGCACCATTCCGCATCTGTGTCTGTTCTCACGCCTCCCGTGACAGCAGCTGGGCTCCTCTGGATGCCAGGGCACAGCCAAGGGAGGCAGGAGCCTGTTGTTATAAAGCAGAGTTCCGAGGGCTCTTTTCTGGGGGAGAAGCAATGGGGCATCTACAAAGGAGCCCGCTGCCGTGATTCCTACTGCCACGCGACACGGCAGCTGCTGAAACCAGCAGCAGAAAGATCAGGTCTCTGCACCCTCTTGTGAACGTTCTCCACAGTTACAGCGGCGCAAATCCACGGGCCGTCTGCGGCAGGGAGAGCGGCTGTGACACTCGCTCCTCCAGCACACCAGCAGGCCAGATGTCGGCGCTGAAGCGCTGGTGGTCAGCAGCTGTTGAACCCAAGCCACGCGAGAAACAGCGGAACTCGGGGGATTATCCAGCCCCTTCGCTGGCGGGTCACTCCTTTCCACACCGGGCTGCCTCACCGACTCCAAAGACGCCTGAACCTGAGCTCTGCACGCACAGACCCGAAGCCCAAACCCCGGCGCAGGCGCAGACACCTCCAGCAGCACAGACATCAGCCCACCTGGAGAGCTTCCTGCTTCGTCACCCGCTGTGGGGTGCAGAGGCACGTGCTGGAGGGGGCAGGGTTGCAGCTCATCGCGACCGGTTCCACTGACCGCCAGCAGAGACCAGGGGTGATGCCCAGTTGGGTCCCCGTCGGCTCTGCGGCCAAGCCACCTTCCCCCCTGCCCGCTCTGCCCTGGGCCTCCGCTGCGCTGCGGGCGGGCGGCTGCAGCAGGGTTCCCAGCGGGAGGAGGCGCCGCCGACACGGCCCTGGGGCTGCGGGGGCCCACGGCCGTGCCCCCCAGCAGGCGGGCGCCACTGTCGTGGTTTAGGCCTGATTGACAGCCAACCACAATGCAGCACCTCTCTCTCCCTTCCCCTCCGGCAATGAGAAGGGACAGAGAGCCAGGCTTGGGGTTCAAGATAGGACTGGGATGGGGGAAAATCCCCCTTTTATGATCATGAGCAAAAGGCAGACTCGTTAGGGGAAGAAAAAAAAGAACATACATTTATTACAGACACTAACAACACATAACAGAGTAGGACAGTGAGAAGCATTGCCACATCTTGAGAACACCTTCCCCCCACCCCTCCCTTCTTCCCGGGCTCAGCTCTGCTCCCGATATCTCTACCTCCTCCCCCAGTGGCGCAGGGGCAGGGAATGGGGGGGTGCAGTCAGTGCTGCCACTTCCTTCATCTTCGGTGAGGGGAGTGTCCAAAACTTGTTACCCCCTGCTCCATCGTGGTCCCCCTCTCACAGGAGACAGTCCTCCACAAACTTTCTCTGACTTGAATTCCTCCTATGGGCCGCAGCGTTCCCCACACTGCTCCGTCATGGGTCACTAACTTCCTCCGACTGGATTCTCTCCCACGGCTGCAGCCCTTCCCGAGCTGCTCCAGCGTGGGACTCCCCCGCATGCTGCAATCCTCCCAGCACTGAATTACAGCAGCGGGGCTACCTTTTTCCATGAGACCCCGGCCTTCTTCGGGCACAGAACCTTGATCAGCCAAGCAGGAACAACAGGCTGTAAATCAATGTCTGCTCCACCGTAGATCTTCACGGGTGGCAGGGGGGGGGGGGCCGCCCTGCCGTCTCACCACAGGATACAGGGGGGTCTCTGCTCCGGCACTCCTCCCCCCTCCTTTCTTCCTCCGTTCCTCCACTGACCTTGGTGTTCATGCAGCTGCAGCAACTCCTCCTCACAAGTCCGACTGCCCGTCACCACGTCCCTTCTTAAATACGTTGTCGCAGAGGCGCAGCCGATTGGCTCAATTTCCCAAACAGAAGTGGAGCTGACGTGGAGCTGGGGGAGCTTCGAGAAGCTTCTCACAGGGGGCCGCCCCGATAGCCCCCTCCCCTGCCACCAAAAAACTCCACCACTCACTCAACCCAGGACAGCCACCTTCGGTGGGGCGCGGGGGGCAGGAAGAAGCACTCAGAGACGGGGTCAGGGAAAAAGGAGTTTATTTCCCCTTCCTGGGAAAGGGGACACGCGGCAGCCCTGCTCTCAGCGCCGGCGGGGCGGCCTCTTGCCGGGCTGGGGACCGTCCCGGGGGCCGGGGGCCCTCCTCTTCGGGGGGCGCCGGGGCCCCCCAGGCGAGCGGTCCCTGCCCCGGCCGGGAGCGGAGGGGCTGCGGCTGCAGCCCCGGGCAGAGGGACCTGCCGCCGCCGCCTCCCCCGGCTTCTGCCGGGGCGGGCGCGGCCGGGGGGCGGCCGGGAGCCCCGCGGAGGGCGGCCCCCGACGTGCCGCCTTCCTCCTCCCCGGCGGAGCCTGCAGGGCTGCTGGAGGCGGCCGGGCCGGGGCCGGGGCCGGGGCCGGGGCCGGGGCCGGGGCCGGGGCCGGGGGTGACCCCCGGGAGGCGCTGGGGCTGGGAGTTCCCGCCCTGGAACTGGTGCAGATGCAAGTGGTGGAGCTGGAGCTGCTGGAGCTGCTGGAGCTGGTGCAGCTGCAAGTGGTGGAGCTGGAGCTGGAGCTGGCCGCAGGGCTGTCTTCCCCCTGCCCCGCAGCCTCGGAGCGCAGCAGCCTCTCGGCCTCCTCGCTGCACAGGCCCACAATGATATTGATGATGCCATCGACCAGCGGTGCTGTATGTTCCTCAAGGACAGGCTGCAACAGCTGGACCATGACCACACGATCTGGACCACGGAGGCACAGGGCGTGCAGGATGCGGCTCTCGGCCCTGTGTGCCAGCCACCACCGGGACCCATATATTGCCTGCAGCTCCCGGCGCAGCCAGGGCAGCACGGGGTCCAGGAGATGCTGTTCTCTTTGGAAGAGTTCTGCCCAGACCTGGGGCAGGAGGCCACCCACAGCTTCTGTCCCTGCAGACCCCTGCTCAGCTGGAGATGTCACAGCACGATGGGGGCTGTTTTCAGCCAGGTGGCTGGGAGCTGTGGCTGCCTGGCTGCTGTCACCTGATGACTCTTCAGGGTCTGTGACGACACACTGTAGATAGTCATTTTCTGCCCGCACAGAAAACCAGATAATATTTACTGGTCCTCTGCAGAGTGGACACACTGATTTCACCTCTGCCCACCGCAGGATGCAGCCCAGGCAGAACTGGTGTTGGCAGGGCCTGACATATGCCACATCTGTATGAGTGTCGCGGCAGATGGGGCAGCACCACTCTGTCTCCGTGGCCATGTTTCCTTCGTGCGGCGGGCTGGGGAGAGCCAAGGACGGGGAGCTGCTCCCCTCCACTGGCGTCACACGCTGCAAAAGGGAGAGAGGCCGCGGTCACTCGCTGTGCCGGGGAGGGGAAGGGAGGCAGGAGCGGCCAGGCCCCTCGCGAAGGACGCCCTCCCGGCTCCCCGAGCCCCACGGCCGCCCCACGGCCGCCCCGTGGGGACGCTTCCCCCCACAGCTCACCTCCGCTGCCGCAAGCGCGCCCGGCGGTGCCCGGCTGCCTGAACCAGGCAGGGCCGGGGAAACGCAGGGGATGGCTCCGGGACGAGCACCGAGAGCTGCCGACGGCAGCCCCCAAAGCGCCGCCCAGCACCAGGAGCAGCCTCGCTCGACCCTCCAGACCTCGCAGGCACGCTCGGCAGGAGTCCAGGCACGAGCCAGGCTGGGCCAGCGGCTGCCGGCGCCCGAATATAAGCAGCGAGGGACGCGAGGTCACAGTCCATCGCTCGCTGACGTCACAGTCCACTGCTCGGCGATGTCACGCCAGGCCTTCCGACCCCATAGGCCCATGGCATCAAGAGAGGAAGGAAAATACCCTTTCTTGGGTTTGTCTTCTACGTTGCCGTGTTCGTCCAGCTTGGTCACCGGCAGCACGTGCCCGTGACTGTCTCATCCCCACTCCTGACGCCTCGCAGGGCCAGGGCCCTCTCCGCTCACCAAGCTGGCTGGTGCTCCTGGCCGACCGCTGCGTTGGTGGTGCTCAAAAGCGCCAGTAGTGGGGCCTGATCCCATACACGCGGGAAGCAGCCGTAGGTGCCGTCCCTCCAGAGGACGGTGCAAGGGCCGCAGGCACCCTGCTCCCGAGTTCGGGGAGCCCAGGATCCATCACTGCGTGGGCCGTCAATTCCCACCCCCCACTGCTGCCTCTCTGGCTTCTATAATTAATTAATCAATCATTTAGAGTCATT